CTCTGGGACAGGGTATATAAAATTACGCTCTCTCTCCTCTCTGGAACAGGGTATCCATTTTTGCAATACCGGAACAGGATATGATTTTCAGTGATCTTGCTCTGGAACAGGGTATGAATTTCAGCGATTTTGCTCTGGAACTGGGTCAGGGTTCAGTGGGCTCAGCAGCACATCCCTACTCTAAACGGGCAAGAGTACCCCCTCCCCTCCAGGGTCTGAGTGGGAGATAGAAGGCTCTAATTTCCAGCGGTACAAAACCCTGATGGCTGGAAATCTGAGCCTACAGGGAGAGGGGACAGGAAGGCTTTCCCACTTGGTCTTCCCATTTATCCCTCTTGCACTAATTGATTGTATATCAGTATTAAGAGTAAAGGACTGACACTGAACTGAACTCTAATGGAGCAATTTTTAATAACAAATGAGAATATAATGAATTAAATATTAACAGCTCTTAATGGTTATAATAATGTTCTTAATCTTTTAGAGAGACCCATCCTTTGTGATCTCTTCCTTTTTACAATTAAAAGTGAATCTTTCAAATAAAGTCATTAAGATAATTTAAATAATTTTTAAAATATCTTTTTTTATTAACATATCACTGTCTTAATAAATGAAAAGTTCATCTCAATAGGTGGCATTTTGAGTGAGAACAAAATATAGGCAATAATCTGCTGTCTCTCCTATCTTTCTTCTTCTTTCTTGTTACTTTCATTCTATTTTCTATCTCCTTTCTTTCTTTCTTTCTTTTCCTTTTTTTCTTTTCTATTTTTTTTTTTTAATCCTTTTAATCCTTTTAATCTTTTCTTGGCAGGAGTGGACCACTTTTCCTGTTCAAACAAATACTGTATTACTAAGCAATCATACAGCTAATAAAATAACAAGATGAAGTTAATAAAAACATTTGGGACAAGGTCATTTGTATGTAGAAATGTGCTGGATGGCAAGCCCTGAATATTACAGACACCCACCTGCCACAGACACCCAGTCACTACAGGAATCTACCCACTGAGTCACCCACTAGAGACATGTACAGCTGCTACAGACACCCGGTTACTACAGGAATCTTTCCACTAAGACACTCTACAGACATAACAGCTGATAAAGACACCCTGTCACTACAGGAATCTACCCACTGAGACACTCACTACAGACATACAGCTGCTACAGACACCCAGTCACTACAGGAATCTACCCACTGAGTCACTCACTACAGACAAACAGCTGCTACAGACACCCAGCTGCACAAAACAAGGAGTTTTTATAGACACCCAGTTACTTAAGACATCAAGTTACTACAGACACCTAGTATGAAGTCATGTATCTAGTCTTTTTGCAAATGTATGGGGTGAGGGACTATGTAATTCCACTACCCAATGAATAAACATATAGAAATAAGTCCCTACTGAACCACTGCTTTGAAGTCATCCCTTATCTATGAAAACTTTACAAGAAGGATTTGCACAGTCAAAAATAATTTAACAAAAATTGTTGTAGCTAATGAACTATTTATAAACAATATTTATAACTATTACTCAACTATTATAGTATTACTGTTAATGTTTAGCAGCAATACAAACATAAGGTCAGTCAGTAGAGCAATTTTCATATTACTGTGAAAAGCTTGAGGCACAAACAGGGTCTTGACATGGCAAGGTGCGCATATGCCAGACCAATCACATTGCATAATTATTTACTCTACATCTAATCAAATACCCAAAGCACAGCATTGCACAGATATGGTCAAGCAAAGGTCATATGCACTGCCAAACCAATAAAAAAAAATCAGCCCATCAAGGAAAGYATACAACAACAAGCTTCCGCAATCATAAGAAAAATGCTCTATGGAGTGTTTTGAATTTKGAAACAAAGTGCTGCAAAAGTGCAGTACATTATATTATCTGTTTCCAGGTCCAGGAAATGGATYATGTTGGCAATGCAGTGCATTGTGAGACTGTTTTATGGGACATACCTGTATTTTTAAGATGGCATCTGTCTCGTCCCCTAATAAAACCGTCCTACAATACACTGCAATGCCAACTTGACCCAGTTTTTTTCCTCAACCTCGGAATAGCTCTAATCATCCATTAACACCTTAGTTTGTAATCGGAAATGTGCACTAAGATGTACCTTGGGAAAGGCCTCCTGCATTGTGATGTATATCTTTTACTCAAGCTATACCAAAATGCACCTTGTTTTCAACTGAGTGTAGTGGTAGTCGTATATAATTCAAACTTACATGGCAAAAGAAACTGAAACGACACAACATCTTTTGCCAGCTAATAATCAAATATATTAAGAACCATGCAGAAACGATGATGAATGCTGCTGAGTTGATTCAGCAAACTATCAAGCTTAACTTACAGCTGGTTATGAACGTCTGACTCTAGATGGCTATAGAATATCAGGATATGCTACTGTACATAGAGTTTCATTTGGTCTTCAACTTGGTCCATTGAGTCAACACCAAATTTCTCTTTCTCGCTAGCCATCAGCTTAAAGATTTCTTCCAGTTGTTTTCTTTGTGCTCTGAGATGAAAATAAATAATATTATTAATTCCTTGATTACTAATTGAAAAWTTTATTAATCTAAACCTACTAATGGTGTATTACAAATCCTGCACCCAGATTGGTCTATTGGTTAATCTATTTGATGATAAACCACTGGTAGCAAACTAATTTCAAAATTGTTTGAATCCATCTATTTGACTGATTATTAGTTGGTTTAGACTAAAACAATAGACCATTGGGCCTCATAGTATGAGGAAATAATATGTTTTTAGTCAATAAACTATCTATCTCTATCGAAATAGCCCATTTAGCCTTGTTCCAAGATTGAATTGGAATATGGAAGTATTCTTGCTGAGGAAAGAAAACTACAAAACCCACAGAAATTAAAGCTTAGGAATGATGAAGATAGTTGAAAGATAATCAGAAGATAGAGAATGAAGGGGCCCAGGGGGGGTACTCCCCTATATTCGTTATWCGGGTACGTGCCGCCAAACAGGGTATGGTTTTAAGCGATTATACTCTGGAACAGGGTATATAAAATTGCGCTCCCTCTGGAACAGGGTATATGAAATCACGCTCTCTCCTCTCTGGAACAGGGTTTTCAGCAATCTTGCTCTGGAACAGGGTATGAATTTCAGCGATTTTTACTCTAGAACAGGGTCAGGGTTCAGAGGGCTCAGCGGCACATCCCTACCCTAAACATGCAAGAGTACCCCCCCGGGTGAAGGGGAGGGTGAATTTCAGAAAGACATTTTTGGGGTTATAAAGAGGTTTTCTAGCAATTGTGTTATTGGGCAGAACAACACGAAAAAGGAACAGTGGCTTTAACAAGCCCCCAAATATTCCTCCCTGATCCTTGACTGATGTACTTACTCTCTCTCTAGCTCCCTTTCTTGTCTGGTCAACATGTCTTCCATCTCTTTTATCTGTAGTTTTGATGTCTTGTAATATGTCTGTATATTTTCAAATCCTTTTTCCTTCATTTCATGTTGGATAGTCTCATTGTCCAGTGGTATGGGCAGTGAGACATCTTGTATTTCACCAGGTTTGATCATGTATTTCTCTAGTTCTTCTCGAAGATTTTCATCACTTAGTGAGTCTTGGTCATTTTCCTAAAATGAAGAAGAAAAACATGAGGAATAAATCATTTTTTAGGGTATGTGAAAAAAAAATTCCAGCCTAACACAGACAGAAAATAACTACAGTAAATATAGGGCTTAAAATAAGACCAGAAGAAAGTGCTATCTTTGTAATTACATTTAACAAATGGTTATACCTTCAAGTGGCTCCCATAAGATGACCACTTTAAATGGTATTCCCAACCCTCCACATTTCATCATTATACTAAAAAATTTGGAGGGATATAAAAGATCCACTGAGGGCTTACGTGTAAAGAAATCCTGGCAGAGACCACCCTCAGTGTCAATGCCTCATACTAACCATCTCTCATGTTTGTAAGTTGCATAAAGCAATATTAAATTTACAACTCAATGTAAATCACCTTTTTTCATATCCATATAGAAAAAAGCACTATATAAAGCAGAAATCATTATGAGCCAGAAATTAAGTATGAAATGGAACTAAAATTTTTATTTTGCATGGAAAAGTAGATTAATATCAGTCAAAAAAAACATAGTTTATCCACAAATTGGAAACAATAGACAACGAAACATTGTTACGGCACATTAGCATGTGCACAGGACTTAAGCAAATTTGCTTGTCTGCATTGCAGTCCCATGATGCACAATTATGATGTCATCTGTGAAAAAATACTACTGACCCAAAAACATTAATATATTGTGTAGTTCCAGAAATTATCCATACCCCACCCACAGAGGAATTTGGAATTTCCGAGGGTAAGGGGGGTCAGAGAAAGAACAAAATTACAGAGTTTGTAAGTTAAAAAATTGGAATTTCCAGAGGTAGGGAAGGTCTTAGRAAAAAATTCCTCTGTGGGGGAGGTATTGATAATTTTTGGTACTACACATTATTAGGAGCTGTTAAAAAATTGTGACTGCATAAAAAAATACAAAATCACAACAGGAATTTTTCCAACCTAAATTAATGGCATATTGCTTTCTTGAATATGTTTTTAATGCCTAAAATCCATTGGTGGAAAAACTAATTCCTAAATTCCTTTCTTAATCACAAGCCTCTGGCATAAGACTTTTAATAAAGATGCAATCTTTTATCCTTTAAAAAACTTTTTTTTTTTTTCAATTTTGGTGAACAAAAGAAACTGTTCTTTCACTGGAACACAAGCTGCTCATTCCATAATAATGATAATTTTGATCAAAACATTTGGTCCATCTGCCATTTATACCATTATATAATTTTTATATTATAATATTAATATATTTGATTTGAAAAACCCTTGCTGACCTTGGTCAAAACAAAATAATAAAGCCTTAGTCATTGACATCTGGCATGAGAACTTTAAAACAATAATTTTGAATATATAACGGGTAACCCTAGCATAAAATGAAAATTTGAATGATGAGAGTGGCCTTAGGCTTTGAAAATTTTATCTAAAATGTTGAGGATATCAAAACGTATACGAAAATTTTATGAGGTGATAAAAAAAAAATAATTAAGAGGACATAAACATGCATGCAGCTGTTTTGAATTAATGATCTTTTAAAAGTCAAAATTCAGATATTCTTTAGAATATCGACAGTAAGTTTGACGGTATTTCAGAAAAATATCCATACCTATGAGATTAGATRAAGAGTTAAAATAAAATTAATGAGTTCCAGTCAGAAATCTGATGGACAGGGACCTTAACTCAGCCTTCAAAAATTATTTTGTAGTTGTTAAAAAGGTTATAATATATCGACATTGGACAAGCGACGAATGAAGATGATCTCTAAATAAGTTCAGTATCTTGTAAAAGAAGTCTTTATGAAATACAAACCTGTGAAATTTCGAGTTCTTCTTTTTCTTCGTCTCGGTTCTTGTCATTCCTTTTCATTGAGGAAGTCATTTCTGTAGCCAAACTTTCACTCGCTAAACGAGACGCATTCCGCATATAAATCCAAGTCAGGACTACAACTAGAATTGTGAGAACACCTGGGACAACCAAAGCTGCATAGGTGTCCATATTCGAGGAGAAAAGCGAGGTTTATGTACTGTTTRTCAGCAGCAGTTTCTTGTAAGTCAAGGACTTGACGAGCTTTTGCTCGATGGTAGTGAGCCGTCAAACACCAACCGCTGGGTACTCTCTCTGTTGGCATGACAACCACGAATTTTTCCCCCACCACCCCCTAAAACCTTATATTGCCACAAACCAGTTTATGACAAATTTAAATGAAATCATATAATATCGTTAGAGATTTTATTTTTTACGTTTTTAATCATATTAGGCTATTTTCTTTGGCGTGAACTAAATTCAGTCGTGGAGCCATTTTCAAGTGGGCAGTCTAGCTGTCAGAAAAAGGCGATGAACGTATTTCATATCATCCGGACAGTTAACACCTGGAGACCGTAAAAAACAAGCTGATTAAATCAGAATATAATTCAAAACACATATCGGCCTTCAAAAAGATTGCTTTTAGAGAAGGAAATAACATAGAGAGAACTGAAATGAGGGGGCGTTACTTTTCCTTTTGAGAAGTAAAGCTGAAGTAAGGCTGTAAACTACACGGGTCATGGAGTCTTTCACATACTCGTCTCCGTATCAGTCAATGCAACGCACGCTGAATAAAGCACAGGCAGCTCAACCAGGATCACTCGGAGATGGCATTTCCCGCCAAAACTTAATTGAAGAAAGAAAAATAAATGTCAAAGCCAGGAACTTTAATACCAATCAATCTAATTGTTATTCTTTAACTAGCAACATAAACTATCCTATAAGCTACGACGCAGTGCGCCAATATTTATAAAAGCAATTCATGCGGTATAGCGAGGTGCTTTTGCTATCTAAAATGCAACCAAGGACAGCTTGCTGGGTCTCGGTAACTAAACTACTTGTTTGGGCGGTTCTGTCCTATGCTTCTAACGGCTTTCTTTTCACCATAAAATCAACAGAACTGGTGTAACGGTAGGCGTTTTTGCTCATTTATTTTTAAACATAAAATTCATCATCGAAGTGAAAATTGTTTGTCATTGAGCCGATAAACATAAATTCAATAAATCAATAATTAATGAAACAATCAAATGCCGCCTCGAGAAGCTTTATCTTTGTTTCTAAATTTTCCCGCCGAAAGTGTTTGAATAGAGGCCGGGAATGTTTCCCGCCAAAAGAGTTTGAATAGAAACCTGAGAAGTTTCCCGCGCCCTAATAATCAAAAGTGTTTTCCCGCCATTTGACTCCAAGTCAGTGCCGCTTACCGATTGCATGTCGGTGCATCTTTAATTGTTTACTTTATAATAGTTATTGTTTCTGCTATCAATAACAATAGTTAATCCTATTGTGAAACTCATTACGTACCATGGTCCTGTTTGCGGTGTGTTGTCCAAGCGCCGACCAAGATTGCAAAACTAAACGCTTGTAAGCGGTGTAGATACTCTTTAAACTTTACTGATATGTCAAAACTGCCATTACTTACGCAAGGAGAAAGTTTTGCCTGCTTTACCAGTCTGTAATAGACGAGGGTTATCGCGCTGAGTAAATGAAAGTCAATGAGCGTGGGAATTACTAAAAAGGTTTCGGTACCCAACTTAGGGCATATTTATAAAACTGAAGTGTTTGCCAGCTAAACTTAAGTGTTTACAAGTTATTCTTAATATAAAACCCAGTTTTTTACACGAAATACTTTTTCGAGAACACTTAGTAACGCCATGCGTTCATCGGAATTCAAATTATCCGTTTCCGCTTAAAGCCTTAAGAAATTTAGCTTTTCCATTTAAATTTCTATATAAACAACTTGTACTCTAAATATAATACATTTACCCAAGTGTTTTCATTTTGTCGAATGTTTACTTCGCAATTATCTATGTTTACAGTATCAATGACAAAATAAATCCTTTTTAATACCATGGCTTTTGTCATTAATGTGGATTGGTCTGCACTTTAACACCGACTAAAAAAAAAATAAAAAATAGCCGACTCAATGTTTCAAGTTTTTTCTCGCACGGACCTTTTCAAAAATTTATAGAAAGTTTTATATTTCGTAGATACTAGCACCTGTATCTCAAAAAATATGGATCAACAGCGGTAAAATTATATATTATCCGAAAGTAACTCGAAGTTTTTATCAGAGTTTATGTTGGCTGATTAATCTTTAATTAGATAGTTTATTATTATGAACAATCAAATGCCGACTGCATTATTGTTATAAATGTTCTAATTGTGAAAGTTTTCTTTTGATTCTCGTAATGAAAGGCGAATATTTCCCGCTCTATTACGTCGGCTGTTTGTATTTCCCGCCATTGCTTTGAGCGTCGTTTGACAAGAGCCACCGCACGAGGCGTGTCGGCCACATGTAAAATGGGAGTACCTACRCGCGGCATGAATCAAACAAGCGGTATCAATTTGTTGGAATTAATTGTGGGTATAAATACGGCGTTACCAAGCTACTGGTTGTCATTCTTACTTGAGCTGTCTTACAAGTAACAACAAGTAGAACCATGACTGCATTTTCGCCAGTTAGACCAAGAATGTCTTTTCTCATCGATGATCTTCTACGAGACACGCATGATGCTGACAAGAAAGCCGCTGATACTCCAGCTGAAGTCACCACAGGGTTCCCGAGATACTGCTTTCCTCCCGTTAGCAGCTCCAGTGATGAAGATTCTTCAGACGGAAAAGGTTCGTATCTCCTATCAATGTAATGTTGTTAARGGATTGATTCATGCAATGTATTTTAAGAAAATACTGAAGTTAGATTTCTTATATTTTTCAGAAACTGAACAGGCTCCCGGAGAACTTCGTACCAAAGTCATGCAGAAAAAGAACCGTCCATCGTTCGCACCATACCAAGTGGCTCGTCTCAAGCGAGTCTTCACTCACCGAAACTACCTGACCAAACAAGAACGAAAACAACTCGCTGTCGAACTGAACATGAAAGACGAACAAGTCAAGACCTGGTTTCAAAACAAGAGAACAAAGCTGAAAAAAAAGATGGCACATGACGACGAACAATACGCCCAGCTGCTTTACCTAAACGACCTGATCAGCGGTGCATCGCCTCAGAATCACCATACCAACCAATCGCCAGTGCCACCACATGGTTACCATGCCTACCAATCTATGCAACCAAGTCTGGACCAATCACAAATGATATCACGTGACTACATAAATAATCCTTCTGTACCATGTAGATTTCCTTATATACCAAAGTACTAAAACTTCATTAGTATTAGGATATTATTAACTATAGTCAACTGTAAATAATGTAAATAATTACCAATAAATATATTTTGTATTGATTTTGTTGTTTGAGTCTTGCATGATATTATTGTTGAATCGAGTTTTCCTGATAAAGTCTGATAAAAACGTAACTGCTTTTGATACAAGTTTATTTGTTATCAAATTTTTCAAGTTTTACAACCTTCATAATTATAATGTTGGTGCATACGCAAAGATTATTTCGATGTTTGAAAAGACTTAATATTAAAATATTTTCGTCAGGAAAATATCATCTATTTATTTATTACTGGATTTTGAATTCCTTCTTCTCCTTAGACCTTAATTCCTTCTTATAGAGTGAAGTCATTAAACCCGTGAAATAGATATTAGACTAACACACATTAGTAGACCTTAATTCCATTGTTTTCTTTTGTGTCTATTTGACTATCACACGTTGACTAATAATTTTCATTTCACGGGTTAAATACCCTCGCTCTACTATCACTATCAAGTAATATAATAAATAATAAATATAAATATAATGATTTTATCAAAATTTAATATGACAGTTAATCAGCACAATACAAACCATCCTGTGGTGCTCAACAGTTTCATAAGACCTCTGATTAATAATAATAATAATCAAATAATAATAACCTCTGATTACTCCGGCAGAAGAAATATAATTCTAGTCCCTGTCTTGTACCCAGACCCTACTCACTTGCCAAGTCGTTGTGTTGGCTAAGGATTAGGGTCTGGGAACGAAAATGTCCTGCTCCTTTTCAAATCTTAGAAGAAGACTGGAATAAAACTCGATCCACAATGAATTGTGGGAATAAATTTGGAAAAAAAGCCCCACAATCCTATGCGCCACGAACTTATTACCAGTCCTTCCTCGAGCTTAGAAAGAAGAAAATAGTTTCGCATGGTTTGTTYTACATTTTGATGAAGTAAGCGTCGACCTTGTCATTTTTGGTGACAGGATAGTTGTGAATGAGTGCTGAATTCTTTGCATATTCGTCCTCAAATCTGTGATTACTCATACGAGCTGAAATTTCATAAAAATTCAAAAAACATTGTTGGCATAAACTTGAAATGTCCAAATCATCAACCCCAGGTACCTGTCATTCTTAATGCGCAAGAGCAACAAAATCCCAGTTTTCTGGGGTCGAGAGAGGGCATTCCCTCTCCGTCAAAAACAAAATATAAAAAAAGAGTTAAGTCATGTAAAGCTAAACTTAAATTCATCCAAGGTGTCGGGTATGACATCACGTGTACTAAGTAGTACTATGAACAACTGACAAACGGGCTACCTGTGGCTTTAGATCGTGAAGCTTTGAATATTTTTAACCTTTACTAGTAAGATAACAAAATGCCAAAAGAAAGCTTTTAAGTGGGCTTCTGATGTTTTCTGTTGTGGAATTTATTCGTAAAGCTTTGATAAAAACAAGTTATTTTTTCGAGTACGGGCTCCCTGTGTAGTACGTTTACATGTAACTGATAAATAATTAGGTTTACATACCCAGATTCACGAACACGCTGATCAAAAATTTCGCATTTGAGACCGCTTCTTGTGAGTTATCCAAATTATTAGGCGAGGCAGTTTGTGCCTTGGTTGGGTGCCAATGAAAGAGAAAAAACGGATACTTCTTGCCTAAAAACATATAAATCCATTATTAACATAATAGCCATTCCGAGGTTCACGGGAAAACTGCGCTGAGCTGGCATTGCAGTGCATTTTGGGGCTGTTTTAGGGGACATATTAGGTTCCAAGATGACGTGTATTTCGTAATAATAGCAGTAACCTATAACGCACGACGGGATTGGATAAACAGCTTGAAAAGCAACATGCGCTGTGATTGGTAAAGAGACCTTATCAGTTTGTAGAATGCACGGCAAATGTGGAGGTGATTGGTAAAATTTGGCTGCGTGAGCAAGCGCTTAACAGTAATGCGCTATTGCTCAGGAAAGCAACCAGGACAAGCTCTTTACACTAGATTTTAACAGTTATTCATTCAATCGCGATCTGTTTCCCAGACTTCTTTCCGGGCAGAACGTGTTTTACGACATAAAGTATTGACTGGGAAGTTTCCTTCTTTATACATAAACATAAACGTACCTTCCATGGTAGAAATGAACTCCACACCTTTCCTGTCCTTGTTTGTCGATAAAATACGAAACATATTCGAAAGACCTTTGAACGACTCGAATTTCTACAAAATGGAAAGATATTTTTAAAAGTACTATTAAGCACATGTGACAAAAAAAAGATCGGTCCTTTAGCATATTTAGCGATTTGCAATATCTACGACGCCGACACCAACCGAAAGTGTAAATAACTTCACTTTGGGGTTTCGATGAGTTCATTTTATTGACAATTTTTTGAATGAAATCTCAAATAAGCAGAACCCCAAAGAAAGATAACTCAAATCTCCGGTTGACGTCGCCGTCGTTCCCTCTTTCAATACGGTCGGGAGACTAAACAAGTGACGTAAAATTTCCTTCAGAATACCGTTCATGGAGCATGAACGATTTCTATAGAACAGGTTTTGTATTCCTGTGAAAAATTCAAGGTTAGAATGTACCGTGCCGTGACCATGTTTGCCGTTTGCGGGCATTTTGATTGGATAAGCAATGATCCAATGATTTTACGCGCTTTGATTGGTGACGCTTTATATGACGTCACATGACGTGACCTTGTCATGGAAGAAATACTAAACTTACCGCTGGAATGATTGATAAGAAGTGGTTGTGCCAACTTCTTAGTCTTGTTGTCATGAACGTGATCATCTCTGGAGGCAAGCGACCAAATAAACGACTACTCCTGTATTCTGTAAATGATAGCAAGATCAAGTGAGCGAG